GTATTTTTAGCCAACTCTTTCTCTCTTGCAGGAAGACCAAAACGGCTCGTCAACACAACCAGACGTGTGTCCGACCTTGCTCAACCGGAGTGATGGTGGTCATCAAAGCTTGATGGCCGAGAAGAGACGTTACTTTTCTGTTCTAATTGTTCCAAGCCCTTACTGCCGGCTTCGTACATATGCGAGCACATGCAGGCACATACACACACACACACACACACACACACACACACAGAGACGGACATTAACTTGAACTAACCAAATGACTTTACAACTCATCAAAGAGCTCAGACACAGAATGTACATATACAGCTTTTTAGGGATGAGCCGGTGAGTCTCCTTGATCGTCAGTTTTGAGGATGTCCGTCATTTTCATCGGAATCGAAGGCGTTTGCCTCGGAAACAGCGTCTACAAGCATGTTCCAGTGAGGCCAATCGATAGCTGACCAAGAGGAATTCGTCGTCATCTTCTGGTGGGATCAACCTTCGGATCGCTTCACCAAACACTTTCACTCGAAATGGAAGTGGGCTCAACAATGATGTAGTAATAGGTGACTTTTATTTCGTGTGAAAGTGCACGTTGCAGGGATTTATGGGTTGACGTCACGACAAGGAGACGGCCGGTGTCGTCAGGTTGTGATGGTATGCACTGGTTGGTACAGCTTCCGAGACAACCTTTTTCAGTTCTGGCAAAAAGCTATGGCACTTTCTTCTGTTCTTCCTCTTGACAGAGTGCTTACTCTTACAAAAGGCTTGGGCCAAAAGTGAGTTAAAATGAAATATACTGATTAGAACAATTAAAGGTACTAAATAAATGTGGATCAGCTTAAGTAGTTTTAGCTTTGACTGTGTGTGGGTGCATGTGTACATGTATGGGTCAGGATACGAAACTTGCAGTCAGTGCTGTGAGCAACAGTAGAGCAACAGAAGTTTGCAATTGGCTTTTGGTGAAATAGACACACGAAGCTCTCCCTCGAACCCGATCACATAAAATCAAAGTTATGAAATTCATGAAAATTCACTTACGCTTCGTTTGGTATCAAATAACTATTATTGCCAATTTCTTGTGAATTAATAATTAATTGCCTATTTCAACATTGTTATTCGAGTTGGTCACGTATATGAGGGCAGTGACGACAGCGGCAGCAGAAATGTTGGGGAGTGCCGGGACAAAATCGCTAATTCAGCCAAACTATGTAAAGGCTGGCCAGAAGATGACAGTTACCCAATCCCTTGCAAACGATCGTGTTTTGTTGGCGACGTCGGTCCCGATGCTTGCATTCAGCCTCAACAACCCAAAGCATCGTGAAGTGAAAAGCCTACCTCAGTCGAAGTGGCGAATGAGGTCAGCAGATCTTGGATGCGAACCGGATTGCTAAATATGATGAAAGTGATGACGATGAAATGAATAGAAGGCTCCACACTGCCAATACATTAGAATTATCTTTGCTCCCAAGGCCATTTGAAACCGGATCCTGCAGGTAGAGCGGCGACACAACTTCTCTGTCACAGAACAGATTGTTGGTGACCATGTGAAATCCATCGGCATTGTGGGCCTTCTGGTCATTTGTATCGCCTCCACTCACATCAGCCGGCTCGGACCCTTCACCATAGCCTCAGTCGAGCCTGAACACGTACACAATTGAGTGCATTCTACGAGAACATGTCGGCCATGCCACCAGCGATGGGGGTGGATGAGGCAGTAGGCAAGAAGAAAAGTTGGGTTTCGAGGAATCTATTGTTTCATAATTGTTGGGATTACTTCCATTTCGAGTAGAAGTGTTACGTGAAGAGATTCACCGGAATCGAAGGAGATTGCCTCGGAAACAGCGTCAGCATGAATATTCCAATAAAGCTGGTCAAGAGAAATTCGCCGTCGTCTTCTGGTGGAACCGACCTTCGAATCTCTTCACCAAACACTTCTACTCGAAATGGAAATCCGCCGTCGTCTTCTGGTGAAACCGACCTTCGAATCTCTTCACCCAACACTTCTACTCGAAATGGAAGTAATCTCAACAAGTAGGCAAGAAGTTGAAGGCTCTTTGAGCAGTTGTGCGTCTCAGCAGATCACTCTGCTCGAGGATGCCCCGATCTCAGCAGCTCTGACCTGATCCGTTGTTGGGAGGACTTTCATTTCGTATGAAAGTGCGTAAGGAAGAGATTCGTTGGTCGAGCTCACCAGAAGAGGACGGATGAATGCCGTTGTACTGCAGCCGTTTGGTTAGCATCCATCCTCATCTGGTGAGCTCGACCAACGAATCTCTGCTTCATGTACTTTCACACGAAATGAAAGTCCCCCAACAATGTTATGTCAGGAGATCATTCGAAACCTAGTCGCTCTTCGTATCTGATCCGTCGTGACCTCATTCAGCGTCACATCACGTATCCGAAAGAGACAGTGACAGGTTTGACCAGTTGAGTCCTGTCTGACGACGCCGGACCCAGCTTCACAACTGTGTGATTTCACTTCACACTTCACACTTCACATTTCACATTTCACTACCTCCTGGCGGTGTTACAATTTTAACGGCTACACACATACAACCAGCTGTATTCAGGGAAGTAGGATTCGAGACTACCAGTAAATCTGGAGTAAAAGTTCTATTCCTCATTGGCCACAAAAGGCGATGAAGGACTGACAGTTAAATGCTTCCACAATCAGACTGGCCTCGAGCTCGCCTGGGCGAGATTGAAACTGCAGTCGAGCCTGGATGAAAACGCCTTTTGTAGGTCAAGACTAAGTGGGATTCACTGGCCCTGTGAGGCCCACTCGGCTGACTGTGGGGGCATTTAACTATCAGTCCTTCAACCCCTTACTGATAGTTGTCAGCATTCATCGCGTGTATTTCGGAAGACTTAAATGTGCGTCTCTACTGGCTTTGAGATAGTTTCTAAACGACAGCCTCTTTACAACATATGATGACAACCATTGAAGGAATGCATAGGTCGGCCAAGGTTGCACTCAGGCCTGGAGACGTACGACTTACCAGAAACGGCGTCGAGTGCCCCAAGGCAAGAAGGCGAATGCCCAGACCATGGAGGATGTTTATCATGCCCGCGGTGCCGGCGTACTGGCCGAACGCCACGAGTCTGGTGCCCGATTCGTCCAACATGCGCTCGTAGTCGATCACGCGGATGTTCTGCTCCCGCCGCGATTGGCGCGATGAGGCCAGTTGCGTTTGCATGTGGATGAAGAAGAGCAGAGGCAGGCAAAAGAGTAAACGTAAGAAAGTAGGGTTTCGAGACTACCAGTAAATCAGTGTAATGAGATGTATTCACCCTATTTCGTGTA